GGTGGGTGGGACCCAGCAAGGCCACAAAGAGGCCCTACTTGGAGCCAAAGAGGCCTGTCCTCACTGCCCAGCACCCTGCTGGACCCGGGCCTGAGCCGGTCCATTCTAAATCCACACCAGAGAGCCAGGAAGGGGGCCGGGGGCTGTCACAGGCACCAGCCCGGGCGCCCACCTTCTCGTGCAGGAAGGCAAAGCAGCATTCCTTTGGAGGCTGCGCAGCTGCAGCTATAAATAGCTTCTGGAAAGGTTAGCAAAAAGCACAGAGGAGTCTGGAGTGGGTTTCCAAGGGAGACCGGGATGCTCGCGCTAGCTTCTCACCTGTTGCTTCTCCTGCTGGCTGGCACCCCGCTTCTCCTCTCAAGCTCTGCTCTCGGGCCCCCCACACCTGCGACGCCCCCACACCCACTCCCAGTGCAACACGAGGCTCCGGGGGACAGGAACCTGCATGGCAGGAGCGGGCCCAGACGTGCCCTGCAGCCCTCTAAGTGAGGAAGCGCTCTCCTCAGCACCTCGCTCCCTTCCCAGAAGCCCACACACTTGAGTATTCCCCAGGGGAGTTCCCGGGAAAGGTGCGGTAGGGATGGGGGGGGGGGGGGAGCAGGGAAGAAGGGCAGGGCCCGCCCTTTCCTCTGCCCTGCCCAGGCACCAGCTGCTGGGGCTGCCCAGGCAGGGAGCTTGGGGACAGCGCCTTCCTGGGGGAAGTGCCTCTGCGCCCCTAGAGTGTCCGCAGGACTAGAGTGTCGGCAGGACAGCCGCAGCTGTTGGGTTCTGTCAAGTGAGAATCAGTCTCACTTGTCACTGAAAAAGCCACCCCCCCCCCCCAACACACACACATACACACCTGCACGGGGGATATTTATAGCACTCGAGGGTTCATCCTTGAACTGCCTGCGTTTAAATGAAATCCCACCCTTGCCCTTGGAGCAACAGCATGCCTCGAAGCACTTGGACCTCTGACCGGGGTTTGAGCTGAGAAAGGCACAAAGGCAGGGAACTCAGGTTCACCCTGAGCACAGAGGCCCAGCGGGGCGGGGGTGGGGGGGTGGGGGGGTGGGGGGGTGGGGGGTGGCATTCTCAGTCCTCCTGACTGTGAGGGATCAAGTTCGCAGTGGCTGCCAAGGATTAAGGGGCCAGGCCGCCACTGCAGCTCATCTGCAGAGCACCCAGCTCTGCCCAAGGGACCTGCACCCCACCTGGGCCAGGCAGGAGGGCAGTGCGTCTCCCTGCTGCCTCCAGGTGGTCCGAGCGGCACTGAACCCCAGCTGGTCTCCACAGACATCCAGAAAGGAAGCGCCACAAAACTGCCCAAGGAGGAAGAATTCGACCTGGGCTCCCCCACCCCACCCCCACCCCGCCAATGCCAGCGATCAAAAATAGCACTGAGGCTGCTTCTGGGCCGTCCTGTGGAGAGGGTGCTGCCCTTCCTGGGAAATGCTCCAGAGCGTGCTGGGGATGCGGAAGGGTGTCCCCCGGCAGGACAGGTGATGGGCACCCAGGCTATACCACGTATGTGTGTGTTCCCATCACACACACACACACACACACACACACACACACAGCTACAGCAGCAGAGGTGAAGGGGAAAGCAGTCTGCTTTGGAAAGAAAACGGCCATCCAGAATACAAACACCCCAACTTCCTAGAGGCACCAGATATGTCAGTTGGATGATCACCTTAAATGTGATTGGGGGGGCATAAAGACAAACCCAGAGCAGTCTGAAGCGAGCAGCTAGGGTTAGGGTGGGGGAGGGGAGGGCGGGAGGGAGCTGTGGCTAATAGCCCTGAGCGCCCACCTGCAGGAGGGGACCTGGGGGAGAGGAACCAACTGCTCAGTGGCTGCACAGAGCTGCGAGCTTCCTTCCTCGCCTCTCTCACCATTCTGAAAGTGGAACTGCCTGGCACCCATTCTCCTCTCTCCAATTCCACACCGCACTCTTTACTCTTCTAAGAGTTTCTCTCACAGGGCAGGCTCTGATGACACAGGAAACCATCCCCCACCACAAGGCACTGTTGGCAGCGGCTGTGCTGGGCTGGCCAGGGGTCCAGCGGGGGGGGGGGGGGGGGGGGGGGTACAGCCAAGCTGACTCAGCAGCTTTCTGTAAAAGGACCTAGGGTTCTGGGGTCTGGTGGGATTCCATTAAGTCAAACTTGTTCCGTGGTTCCTCTCCCACTGGCAACCGCTTCCTCTCACAAAACCACCCCCAAGGAGGGTACCAGAAGGCCTTCCACGCTTCCAACAATTCAAACGAGCTCCCGGCAATGAGAGCGCAAGCGTAGCTGTCCTCCACAGGCTTGCTTAGATCACAAAGGTGGTGAATGACAGCTGCAATCGCAGGCCCTGGGCAGCAAGAAGATCCTCAGGCGTCCGGGTGCTGCCTGTCAGGCTCCCCGCGCTGGTTGTAGGTCTGTGCATCCAATTTTCATTATTGTTACAGAGACACAGGGTCCCCGTGGCCAAGTACAACAGGGGCCACCTACATAGCCAGGCTCTTTCCCGCCGCCTGCCGCACCAAGGCAGACACGGGTTCCAACCTATTCCTTTTGGGCACCGTGTGTAGCAGACTCGCCTTCACCGAAAGATGGATTATCGTGAACTTGGATCCAAAAATAAATGTCTTGGGCACTAGGAGAAACACGAAGGGAGCTGAACAGGCATCTGGGCTGGCAACATCGCACCCCACCGCAGGGCAAGACAGTAACATTTGAACTCTACTCTTCAGTTCTTCCTCGACATCGCTCTCACAGACTCCACGGAAAAGAACAAGGATGAGGATGGACGAGAATTTTTTGGGGGGGCGGGTTCTGACTGTGGGCGACTCTTTGGATCTGGGTCCTCTCCACAGACGCCACGGAACCCCCACTCAGACCGGCCGGGCAGACAGCAGATAGCACGCCTCCAGACACAAGAGTCACCCCATCGGGCGGGGCTCCAGGCACCTCCCAGGCACCCACCCGGTGCACGCAGCCCCCTCAAACTGGGGCACACACAAACCCACATCCCAGCGCCAGCACTGCTCCTCGGCACTTTCTGGCTGTCTGCAGACAAATGTCCCGACTCCTCCCCCGCACCCTAGTTTCCTCATTTGCAAAAATGGATCTCTCCTCTCTTGGCAGAGTAAATAAGACAAAATTTACATGGGGCCAGCACATGGCTGGCATGTAGGGAAAACTTGATAAAAAGGCAGGTGTGAATGTGCAGAGAACAGCCCTGGCACACACATATTGTTGAGTAAGGTTTGCAGGGGGGCGGGAGGGGGGGGAGAAGGAAAGCAACAGAGACGGTGACAGTAAAGGAGAAAGGGAAGAGGCGGCAGTAAGAGAAGTTAAAATTAGACGATGTTTAAAAACTTCTCTTCTTCCAACCAACTGTTCCCGCCCAGTGTTCTAGCCACCGGGCACTTATAAAGTGCTCTTCCTGACCTGAGTTCCGCCCCTTGCCTTCCCTAGGTTCAGATAAAGACAGAAGAGTGACCACGAGGGCAGGCAACCCAAGGGGAAGCTCACTCTTTGTACTGGCCTGGTACAGTCTGGTGAAAGGAGGCAGCTGCAGGCAGCGGGCGGTGCCAACCGTTTTGCTTCTTTGTCCACAGATGCACCTGCCTCTGGCTGAGAAACCAGAGGCCACATCAAGGGGCCCCGCCTCTCCATCCCAGCAAAGACATTTTCCAGAGTCGACCCAAAGCCCCACCATTCTGGAATCGAAATCCAAAGAACAGTTCCCCTGTACTGAGCACTGAGAGCGTGCCAGCCCCACTGCAGAACATCTGGCAAAGAACACACACAGAGGAAAGCGGGCTGGAGTGTCTGTTTGGGGGACACACTCGGCAGGGCTCAAAGCTTGCTCCTGGCTCTGCTCCTCGTGGCTTCAGGACACCAGACACAGTGGCCAGGATGGAGTCACAGATTGCCAGTTGCAAGGCAGGAGCCTTCAAACACCCCCATTGCCCGCCACCCCCCCCCATCTTGCAGGTCCTGGGTTGAAGCTTGTTAACCCCACTTTACCCAGGAGAAGACCCTCGACACGACATCACTCTCTACTACCCTCAGCCACTCACAGGTCCCATGGACTTGTGTGCATGAATGACACAAGGAAACTTCCGCCCCAATCCCTGGGCTAGATTCTGCAAAACTTCCTCCCACACAATCAGATCATCCCAGCCCCTTGGCACAAGTGTCTGGGAACAGAAGGGCACTGGGACAGAGAAGGAGGAGGAGGAGCGGGGTCTTGAGTCCTTAGGGGGCACATCCACTCCACAAGCCGTGAAGCAAGACTGCCCCAAGGAGGGTGCGCTTCCCCCCGCCCCCCCCAACGACCAAGAAAACCAAGACAAGTTCGCAGGTTTGGGGGGCTGGGGGTACTTCCCTTAGGATTCCCGCTGAACTCCTAACCCTTCCTCCTCCTCCTGCCCCAGGGCGTGGCTGGGTGGTGCCTGTTTCTTTTCTTTTTTTCCCCCTGTGGTCCTCAGCTAACACCACAGATTACGTTTTCAGGGACCAGAGTCCCAGAGAGCGGTGATGTTGTAATAAACATAACCAGGACCAAATGCCTTCCCATCAGATTAGATGATGCCATTTCCCACCAATCAGGCTTCTCGGCTGGCCGAGCCCTGGCCAATGAGGGAGCAGACAGAGGCGGGGGGGGGGGGCGCGTTGAGGGGAGCTGGGGGGGAGAGACCTGGTCATCTGCAACTAAAAATAAGGGCACTCCAGGATTGGCCGCTGCCACTTTGCAACAGGAGTTGGGACCCACACACCCGAGCGCACACACAGGCGGAAACTTTCCCAGCCCGGGGGTGCCGAGCGGTGGGCGGCGCGGGGGTGGGGGTCCGTCCCCCTTCGGGAGCCGCAGGTTTGAGGACAGAGAGCGCCGGGCGCGCTCCGAGGGGGGCCCGCGCGGCGCCCGAGACGCAGAGCCCGGCTGCCCCGGGCCCTTCTCGCCGCCGCCGCCGCCGCCGCCGCCGCCGCCCGGCTGGGCGTGGGCCAGCGGCCCGGGCCACTCACCTGTCCGGCCGTGTCGTAGAGTCCCAGGAGATACTGCTTGCCCCCCACGGTGACGCTCACTGCAAGGACAGAGGTGGGGGCGGGGAGAGAGGCTCGCAGCTGCCCGGGCTCCGGGGCGCTCCGGAGCCGCCCCGGGGCCGGTCACCCCGTGCCCGCCGCCCGCTGTCCCCCCGCACCCGGCAGCCCACCTCTCCCGGGGGCCCGGGGCCGGCGCGGGGCCGGCGCGGGCGGGGGGCCGCGGAGCGGGGCGCGGGGGCGCGCCGGGGGGCGGCGGGGGGCGCCGGCAAAGTTGCTCCAAAGTTCCCGGGCGCGGGCAGCGGCCCCGGCCGGCGGCCGGCGCTTACCTGCGTAGTGGTCGAAGACGGTGGGCACGTACTCCTCGGGGAAGGCGTCGTTGGCGTAGCTCATGAGCAGGCACGTCTTGCCCACCGCCCCGTCGCCCACCACCACGCACTTGAGCATCAGCGCGCCGGGCCCGTGGGCCATGCTGCATGGTCCCCCGGCTCAGCCCCGGCCGCGCCCCCGCCCCCATGCAGCGGCGGCCCCCGGCCCAGGGCAGGGGGCGGCGGGCCCGGGCGCCGTGCCCGCCGCTGTGCCCGCGCCCGCGCCGCGCCCGCCCGCTGTGCCCGCGCCCGCGCCCGGCCTCCCCGGGAGCGCCCGCCGGATCATAAGACTGTCGGGCCCCGGGGGAGACGGCAACTTCGGGGAGGGCCGCGCGCGGAGGGGAGGCGCCAGCCGTGTCCCCGCCCCGGCCCGGCGCGGCCCCGGCGAGGCGGGCCCGGCTCCGACGCGCGCCGCCCGGCCGGGGAGGCGGGGAGCACGGCGGGGGGCGCCCGCAGCGCGCGGCGGCGTGCACAGGCCCGGCGCGGGCAGGCCCCGAGGCCGCGGGGCGAGCGCAGGACCCCGGCGATGACGCAAGAGTCGTGCAAAATCATAGATGTGCAACGCACGCGCGCGCGCGCCCCTGCGTGTGTGTGTCTGTGTGCGTGCGTGTGTGTCTGTGTGCGCGCGTGTGCCTGCGCTCGCGCGCGCGCGCGCGTTCGAACCCTACCGCAAGGCTCGGTCCTGTCGCTAAGTGCGCGACACAACTAGAAATCAGCGTGGAAGGAAGGCCAAGAGTTAAAAAAATACGTGTTCGATGGGAGAGGGGCGGGGGGTGGGGTGGGGCCCCCTGAAGTGTGGAGGAGAGACTTCTGGCGAACTGCTGGGCTCCACACACCCCCGGCGCACCCCACCCCCAGCCCCACCCCCGCGCTTTTCACTGCAAGAGCTTGAATCATTTACTACCGAACGGGTGACTAAGGGAGTTACCGCATCCTGAGCTGCGCTAGCACGCCCACCGCCGCCCCCGCGCGCCCCCCCACAAAGCCGGGAGAGCTAGACCCTGAGGGTGCTGGTGTGCGGCAGGTGGACCCGAGCTCCGTCTGGAGGCGATGTGTCCCTGGAAAGTGCTGGGGTGTGATGCTCGGCTCAGAGAGGGCCTGGGATGGACCCAGCTCCCCTGGACTGCTTCAGGCCAAAGCCTGGACGCGTTTCCTGAGCAGCTGGAGTGCACTGGCCAGCAGCGATGCTCCGAACATCAGCACCGGGAGAGAAGAAGGGAAGAGGATGCCTCCATGCTGATATCACTAGCCCCCTACACACACACACACACACACACACACGCTCACACGCTCACACACATACACAGACTTGCTTGCTGGAAAGCATAAACCTGGTCCTTTTGTTCAAAGGGTTAGAACCTGCCCTGCTGACAAGTGCAGGGGTCACCAGGACCATCTCCCTTAGGTTGTGGGTACGCAAACTGACTTCCAGAGACAAACCAGTCCTTCCACCCGCTTCCAGGAGCCAATTGCCAAGCGCTTGGATCTTACTTTGGGAAATGCTGGTTGTAGGTCCCCTGGCCTTTCTTCCCTGACTCCAAATCTGACTTTGTAGCTCTCCACCCCACTCCCATTAGTTCAGGGGCTCTTCCTGAAGTCTCACCAGACCCTTCTCTGCATCTGAGAGCATCTCTCTGCACCCAGGGACGCTCACTGCGTTTCCTTCTGCAGTGAGTCGGTAGGAAACTGTGTGTACTGAGGGCAGGTAGGGGAGGCTGGACAAGGCCTGGGAACCAGAGCTTGGTTCAGGATTCTCCTCAGTGTCCTCTGGAGGAGGAAGAGAGGCTGGCTTTCCCCATCATATGCTGCAAGGCAGCAGTGCCTGCTGAGCTCCAGGAAGAGTCCAGAGGAAAGAGAGAGGGCTGGAAAGCGCTCCGCCAGGACAGCGAATATGCTCCCGGCTCAGCCACTGGTTTGCAGTGTTCCCTTGAGCACCCACTTCTCTCTCTAGCCTTTCTGGGCCTCAGCTGTCTCGTCCACAAGTAGGGGTTGCACATGGGTGAGTCCTGCTTTCACCTACTTTTAGACCATTCAAAAGGTGTCTGGGGGGAGGTCCTGGACATAAAGTGTAGGATGGGGGGGAGAAAGAAGAGACTACTGGAGATGGTGTGTGTGTGTGTGTGTGTGTGTGTGTGTGAGAGAGAGAGAGAGAGAGAGAGAGAGAATATGTGTGAGTGAGTGTGTATGTGAGTGTTTGTCTGTTTGTGTGTGTGAATGTCTGTCCCATCACTGGCAGGTGGAGGCTTCCCCAGTTCTGCTGCTGCTTTGTGTGAGAGTCACTTACTAGGACCCAGGAAGCTGGAGGGTCTATTCCTGAATCTTTGAGAATAGCAGAGACCCCCGTCTGGGTGCTTTGGGGGAAGGCGCTGGGAACGTCGGAGCTCTCCAAGTGGGGACCGCTGCCCGATGAATCATGCACTGTGACTTCATCGGTGACCTCATTCCTCTGGCCCACAGAAAAGACAGAACTGACTGCCAGGAATATTCTGGACTCTGGGACCGACCCCAGAGTGTGTTTGTGGGGGAGGGGCGGGAGCGGTCTTCATCTGGATATCCCAGGCTAGTGTGCAGCATGCAAAAGGGGTTAACTTGGAAGGACCTAAGAGACTGCAAAAGAAATCTCGCTTTTATGTGGCTAGAAAGACGGTGCCTCAAGTGGTCAAAACTGTCAAATCTCAGATTTCAGAGATTTGAGGAACAGGAACCAACTTTATTTCAAGGATCCCGTAGGCTCGGTGCTGACTTTTCTTCATTTGTGTCAACTGCTACTGTCAAGACACACAAAGGTCTGTGTGAATACAGAGAAATCTCTCCCTAGCCTTCTCTCATTCCTCTGCTTCCTCCTCGTCACTGATTCATCAGATGTTTTATGTAACAGGCATTTATCGAGGTCTACTAGATCCCAGGCCTTATTCCTGAGCAGGGGACAAAGAGCTGGGAAGACACGTCATTGGAACTGATGAGCAAACAGATAATTACTGTATAATGCGATCAGTTCTGTGGTGGAGGATAAAGAACAGGCTTCTGGAAACAAAGGGGAGTGGCTGGTCCCTAGCTCTGGGTGAGCTGAGGAAAGAGTTGCAGAAATGCATCACTGGCCTGGGGCTTCAGTGGCTTGTAGGAGTAAGAAAGCTTAAAAGGATAGCCAGACACCGGGGCATGAGAAAACAGTATGTAGTTTCTTGGGAGTGATCAGCTGTCTAGAGGAGAGATTAGTGCACAGGGTCTAGAGCTTGGAGAAAGACGCGTGTATTTAACTGGGGAGTGTATTCTGCACCTCATTCCTGGACTCCCAGTATCAGAGTAAGGAGAATGCAGTGCCCTATCCACACTTAAAGGAAAAATCTGGCTCATGGAATACTTATAAGCTCTGACCCTGGCTCATTGGGAAAGGGGGCACTTACTTTCGCTTTCCATTGGTCAGACATGTACCCATGGAATTGCCTAATCAAAGGAGGGCAACTTTTTCTATATAAAACAAGACAAAAGCAAGAGGTGGCTCTGGGGCTGGGATGTATGAAGGGAGGGAAGACATATTTGTGGAGCATTTATGGTGTCAGTAGCTGTCCAATGTGCCTGGGCACTATCCTGGGACTTCGCTCAGTTACATAGGTCATCTCATTCCACCTCCAAATAACCCATGATAAAACTGGTGGAGAATATTGGTTTATCTAACCAGCACTGCACCAGATACTTCTGCCAAACGTTGTGTTTTTTCTAATTTAATCTCTCTGAGATCCTGTGGTTTGACTGAAAGCTATTATCTTCCTACACATCCTGACCTGAGCCCTTTAGATGAGTCCTGGTGAGCATCTGAGCCAATCTGCCCGAAAGGTCTGGATTTGGGCTTCTGAACAGGAGTCTCTCCTTTTTGTTAATTAAACTGGAAATGTGAGCCTGGAAACTGTTGGTTATTCACATGTCCTGTCTTAATCAACCACAAAGACCCACCGCAAGAAAATGAAGCTGAAAAGCAGAGAGAAGCAAAAATAGAGAAGTGACTCCCCTCCCCCACCCCCGCAGATGACACAGACCATTTGTGAGTTCCTGCTTCTAGTTCTCCTAAGGGCCCTGCTGCTCACTGTCCTTCTTTGTTACTGGTCTTAGTAAGTTCCCTCTCCCTTTTTTGCCCAGTCAGTATAGGTTAGTCTTCTATCACTAACCTCCAGAGGAATCCTAGCTATTCTAAATATCGCCACTATCACTGACAGGAGGTATGCAGAGATGAAAAAAATCTGTCCAAGTCTCGTTGGCTAGTGGCAGAGCTAAGCTGCCCAAGGATCTGCCTTTCTGAGCCCACCTTCCACATTGAGGCATCAGTCTGGGAAAATGACAAGTTTAGAATCATCATTTGAGAAGCTCATTGGGAGTGGTGGGGGTACGGCTTTGCAGGGGTAAGCCTGAAAGCAGACTTGGCGGAGGGGAAAGTGAGGTTTCAGCCAAGCCTGGCAGTGAGGAAGGAGGCCTTGGGAGCAGGGGACTTGGATGACAGAATCCCCAGGGCTCAGCAGCACAGGATGGGGCGGGCCAGAGTGATGCTGAGGCTTCCGCATTGAGTCCCTCCCCTTCTTCCCTCCCTCTCTTCCTTTTTCTTTTCTTCTGTTTCTCCCCTCCATATTTCTTAGAGCTTCGTCCTTCAGTTTTTTTTTTCACTGTAGCACTGTCCTCCCGTTGTTCGTCTATTTACTCGAGCGGGCGCCAGTAACATCTCTATTCGTCCCAGCCCTGAGATTTTAGCTGCCTCTCCTCACTCGTCTTTCCCAACGATTGGAGGCTCTTTCAGGGTCAGGGTCAGGGGAATGAAATCTGTTATAGCTGCGGTTTTTGGCATATCAAATATGCCACTGGGAGCTTGCCAGGCTCTGCCCGTGCAGGCGGGATACTCTCGGTAGTTTGCCGGGCTCTCCGAGAGGTGTATAGGTGTATATATACATTTTTTAATTTTTTTAAAAAATAAAATAAAATCATCACATATTTGCCACCCCCACCCACCCACCAGCCTTCCTAGCGCTGCTGTTGCCCCCCTAGCATTTATCATACTCCAGCATATCATGTTAGTTATTGTGTCTACTTTGTTTTTGTTTGGGGGCCACACCTGGCTATGTTCAGGACTTACTCCTGGCTCTGCACTCAAGGATCACTCTTGGTGTGCCCAGGTCTTTTTTTTTTTTTTTGGTCACACCCGGCGATGCTCAGGGGTTACTCCTGGCTTTGCACTCAGGGATCACTCCTG